CTCTTTAAGTATTGAAAGGAGATTTTGCGAACCTCATGTGGATTCCCCTATTAGTGTACGTAGATGTGAACAGATATCGGAAATCCGTGATAAACCTATGAACTTTAGGAAGCAAATGAAGTGTCAACCGCCTGTATAAAAGCCAATTGTCTGTGCTGCACAAAACGGTTTTTGGAACTGTCTCCGGTTTGTTTGTTTTGCCTTGTTTCGGTGCAACTAACATGTTGGTTTAATGAAGACTCCTCGCTCTACTGCGCACAATCAGATTAATGGCAGCCACTGACGAACGCCCACGTTTGACTGGACATTACAGTTAGTAAAATCCTCGAAATCTGGAATTCGGTTTTCTCCCAAAAAACGAGTCTGTTTGCCACGCCAAGTCGACTCCACCCATTACTCGACTTGGCAAATTGAGTAAATCTAGCCAGCGGGGAAAATATTTTGCATCTTATCCGACTCGTTCCAAACATTACACACTATACTGCCTAACTGTACTTTTCCTCATGGTTAGAGAATAAAGACGACAAGATATGAATCAAATTTGAGCCAGTAGCATCCATCGCGGCGGCCGAGGTAATCTGTTGGCTCGGTTTCAGTGGGTTCGTCTTCTCAAATTTTTGTGTCGGTTAAGTGTGTGCTACTTGTATTTTCACTCTGATGACTAGCTTTTGACACGCGGTGAACCCCTTCACCTTATTCCAAATTTCATTTGTGCGTGACCAAAACGGGATCTCGTTCTAATTTCTTGACTGATTACACATCGCTATATCTATAACTATTCAAGTAGACCGTTTGACCACCGATGAGCAATCTCAGGTGCGTTGAAATTTACTAATGGGATTCCAGCTGACTTATCTGAGTGGCACACTGGAGAACATGGGTGACCTTGACACAGATTTTCAACACTCAATTTTGAAAATGTTCAACCAATCCTCCAACCCCAGGGTGCTGGACACTTTCCTGTCGTATCTCCCGCATACGATTTTCATTTGAGTCATACCACAATATCAACGAGATGCATCGCAAGTTTAATCTGTCGAGAGTAGAAGCAGTATATATCCATCCTAGGATATCCAGATAGTCTATCAGGCTCCACTATCGAACTGTGCCAACACAAGCCTTACCAGCTGAAAGTCGTGTTGGCACCTGCTGACTATCAACGACACATTCTGATCTAGTAAATTCAATGAGCATTGGCTTAGTTCAGAACTAGAGGGTTCTCGGTATCCGGTTTTCTTCATTGGCAAGACAAATCAAAGCATATGGCCTTCACACGGGATGATGAAGGTTCACAATTTGCTCAACACTGCATGCCGGCTATTCAGGAAAGCGCAGTTGGCCGGCACTTGCATGGTGAAGGTTCACACGGGTGAAGAAGGAACACAATTTGCTCAACACTGCATGCCGGCTATTCAGGAAAGCGCAGTTGGCCGGCACTTGCATGGTGAAGGCAGTAGAAAAACTGACCTGGCGGACCCACTTCAGTATGCCCGAGGCAACGCACTCACAAATGCAGGTTATCTGCAGTGGTCTGATCATAACAGGCCTTCTGTGAGCTGGTGAAGTGACACAGTGTGACCCAAATGATGGTCCCAATGCAACATGTCGTACTTACTCAACGTGCTCACCTCTATTCGCCCAATCAGCAACTTTGTTATGAACATCAAAAAGTGATTTTCAATGTAATTTATTTATTTGTCCTCGAGCAAAATCAACTTGTGGAGTAACAACAAAATGTAAGACTATCTGTCGTTTTGGTTAAACTTTCCACGAGAGTCTGGCTTTACAAATAAAATATTTCCGGTCACTTAACTTGCTATGGTTGCGATGTCATTAAAATATCACTAGTTAAGTGGTATGTTTAATACTGATGTGCATCAAGGTGGTGATTATTTTCGTATTTATGTACAAACCGAACAGTCCACTGCGAACCAAGCGATATTCCACCCCAGTAATCTGTAATCCTTACGCCGGTTAGTCCGGTCACTGAAACATCGAGTTTCTATCTGGCACTTTTTTGTGTTCCAGTGACAAACGTATTTCCAGCAGAAAAGAACGCAATCTGCTTTAACTCTTTCAAAGTAATGCGCTAAGTAAGTCAAAAAGCGGAAAAGCCTGTCCCCGAATAATAAATGGCTTTCAAAATCCTTTGGCATACTTTTGGTTCGGGCTAACAATTTTGCAAACTTAACTTGGGATTAACTATTTGGCTGTCAGTTTCCAGACGCTGTATTTTAATAGTTGATGCGTTGCGTGATCAAACCAGTTTTACGTGATACGTAGTTGTGTGATCGATTTGAATTGGTCGAAAAGTATTCATTCGTACTTAATACTGACGAGGGAGTCAAAGCTGAAAATCCCTATCAGTCGGAAATACACAGCCTCTATTCAGCGCCCCACTGTTGTTTAACCTTGGTCTGTGGCCTAATGCTAACAAAGTACATGATATTTTTAAGGGATTCTATCTCGTAACAAATCCACACTGATTAGTTCAGCACTATCAACAATTCAATTTTAACCAGATTTTACTATCTGCTTCTACAGGCAATTCTAATATATGGAGCCTCTTGTCTGTCTGACCCTTTACTTGTGTGAGCTATGCAAACCTTTAAAAGCCACAGATTTCTCTTTGATCCAGCAATTGTTTGGGTCACTTGCTTCTCAGTCTACCGGACGGGGATAGCTAGAATGGTTCTATAAGCAAGTGTCAAAATTCAGTCGAACAGTGTAGAAGCATGACAGATTGTGAACGTGATTCCAGCTGACGTGGAAGACTGCAACCCGAATAGCCGTGAAATGTACTTGAAGCGGTTCGAAAATCGTAGGACGCAGAACTTCCGGAAACCTGCATTTGAGGTCAAGTTGGCAGTAGCTAGATGACTGCCACAAACAGCAGTAATCTCTAAGTTGTGACCGGCTTTTCACCAGAGCGCTTCACTGATGAGACAAGCTGCATTTAAACGACATTTCTTCTGGCTTGTTCGATTTCCAACCAAGTCGTATTCTCTTGGTAAGGCTCACTTTCGTGCAATCGTTGAAATTTAAAAACGCACAACCATTCTATTATCTAGTGAACTAGTCCGACCACTTTTTCTATGTAACTGAACAATTATCCTCAAAACATAATGCGTTAATGACTTGTGTTCCGTTCACAACATCATGTCAAATTTATTCAAGTTTTTTTGAGGAGATCTTCGCGATTAAGACTTTCTCAGAGGTTACCTTGCTAGCAGATTTTAAGCGTCGCTGGAACTCAACACATCTTTAGGTGGAAAGCTTCTTCTCCCTTATCAACACATAGTCAAAGTTTAAACATACTATTTTTCAGGAATTTTGTCGAGGAGGTCTGCACGCCTAATCCTCAGGTCATTAGGACACGTACCTCCACCTATTCCACTTTAAAACAAATCCTTTTTTTATTGCCAGGAGGTGACGATGGAGTGGCATTTGACGTGGGTACTAAAATTGATTTCCCTTCGGATTCAGCTTCTGTGGGTTGTTATTTTGTTCCAAGGTTAGAAACGAAACATTGTTGAAATAAATTTGCGTGAACGACTATTTCTGAGGGGCTCAGAATTCTGAACGCGTTGGTTACTCACTCCAACGTGAACAGAGGAAGTTTATTGCATGAATGGGTGCCAAAATGCAGGAGAGATTCACACAGATTTCTAAAGAAAGGAAACGAAACCAGCAATTCATGATTAACTTTGTTGCTTATTAGAATCCAAACGAAAGAGCATCTTGAAACACAGGTCCGTAGAAATCTCCAGAAATGATTATAAGGACCTTCTCATGACCATCCAGGAGATGGGATAATAAACCTCGTTGGACGATGGTTACGCCCTAGATCCTATCAGTTTTTCGGAACTACTGTTATTCCCACACCCGCACATATGCTTACAGTTGTAAGAGCAGCCACAACTTACTCTTTGTCCAGAAAACCCTGCGCTGGTCAACCTCGTTTGTGCTTTTTCATTTCAGTGGAGACTTCAGCCGTTATTATATTGTAATACTTTTATTTTAAAGCTGACGACTTACACTCGTATCACGCCTTCCCATTTGAATCTCGTGGCGCGCGTTCATCCTTGGATTAAACTAATTTTCCACTTGTCTCACTTGTTCCATGTGACGTGTTTATTCTCCAATATTCCTTGAGCTCACGAAAACTCTGTGATTGATGGTTCCATGAATAATATCCGGACGTGAAATTACAGAAGTAATCTTTAGCAGCTATGAGCGAAATGTCCATGCATAAGACATGCTGACATTCTGGCTCATTTTGAGAAATCCCGCAATCATCAACTACAAAAATTTCAGTTGAAACGTAGGAATCTGTTTTCTTCGTTCAAACACTTCTGCTTAGTTTTTGCAGATGAAATTTTTTGATGAAATTTGTTAGGTATTGTTGTGTATTGTGTATTCAAACATTCTCATGCGGGGATGTGGTAACCCTTTGAATGCAAAATCCGCGTACATGTAGCATGAGCAGTAAGGCATGCTTGGAGTTGAACTGAGAAGTGATGCGTCAAATGCGCCATCTAGTGCTGCCCCTTAGGGTTACTTGCTATTCGCACGCTGTTCGCCATATTCACTGGCTCATCAGTGGCTTTCTACCAACCTAATTAATGACGTGGTTGACTCACAAAAGACGCAGACGATTCTGCCGTTCAGACACAGTTAGGGCTTTGTCGTAGATCTGTAATAAGTGAATCCATGTTTAGTGAGCACTAAAAAATGAGGGGCTTCAGTACACAAAACTCAGATGTGTTTTTTCGAACATATTACGTCGTATGAAGAAACGGTAACTAATCCTTTTACCTGGGATGAGCGACGGTACTTTCATTGATCACACATGGACTGGAGCCAAACTGCTGTGCTTGAAGTTTTCTTTCTCCCTCCATTTTAAAGATACTAACCTTATTCATTGCTTACATGTGTGCACTCATTTAAAAATTTCAGCAGCTGTCATTGATTTTGGTCCGCACCAAACAGAATAATTCATGCTTCTCCACCCGACCATGAATTTGTACTGTACCCCCGTCTACCAGCGAATGCGACATTCTCAGATCGGCATGGGCATTAGTCACAAATTTGCAAAGGTACTGCGTCGCCACCGGTCGTACACACTTCAAGTGAGAAATGTCGTGCAAAAATGGCGTTCTTCAAGTGTGTGCCAGACAAGTACCTTTAGTCGCCGACTTTGGACTTCCGGTACAACAAACAAGTTCGCGAGGCATGGGGTCTAAATTGTGTTGAATTCTGGACACTTTCAACCCTGTGGGAAATCACTATGAGGCAGGTATTGTTAGAAAAATCCGGACAGAGTAGACTCAGTCATACAAAAACTACCCGTGACAGTATGAGATCACTTTACGCAGGACATATGCGGCGTATGTAGAAGTGTGATGAACGTGAATAGCGTGGGTGGTGATTATACGGAAACAACAGTCAAGAAACTTGTAGTTTTAACCCACTAGATCCTATGAGATTACAGAAACAACATTGCCCGCTGGCCTTATGATTTTTACAAAAATCGACTGAATCATTTCAGGAATCTTAAAAGTACCAATAATATTGGTGATTCTTACGAAGAACGTTATGCAGTGTAGTCATTTTTGAAGAGCTCAGTCACACAGAGAAACGTTTACATCAATTTCCCCTAAGATCCGCCTGTATATCCCTCTAGCACAAACACAGGGCCTGAGACATGCCGAATCATTCTTGGAGGGTACTTACTTTGGCGAGAATAAAATCCACCGCTCATTTTGATGGGGGTAAACCACAACCAATCGGCAGAACTAGTACCATTCTAAATGATGATTGTAGGGTCGAAGAAAGATTACTTACACAGGAACACTGATGGATTTCATCATGCGTTACTTCGTGGTTGTTTCTTTCAAGCACAAAAATTAACTGCTTGAGGTTAACTATGATGACACTTTACTAGAGAAGTCCAACACGGAACGACTATCGCTACTGTCAGAAGCCATATTGGGGTTTCATTTGCTTGGAAGGAGAGAATGAAACGGTTTTAAACGGAGTAACATGCTTGAGTAAACCAATGTTAGTATTTGTTTGAGCAAGGGGCAAAGCACAAGCAATATAAACGAATCAGGGTTTTCCCCACAGACCGTAGCCGTTTTATGTTGGCCAGAGACTGGTTTCGTTACTATTGTTACAACAAATATGACACCAACTCGCACAGAAAATTAAGTAAATAGATGACAAGATTGTATGAATCCACTGACTAGGGTTCATGAAGAAATTCTCACAGGTTATAGAAATGTCAATTTAGTAAAGTATTGGTTCACTGATCGCTGTCTTACAGATTCAGACCCTGTGCTGCGAAATTTTCAGTTGAATGAAAGCTTCTGTAACAATGAATTGTAAGTGGTAAAAGAAATTAGGCGTGCTGTGGAACGGTAGATTTTATTGAGTCGTTTGTCTCTGGCTACTACTGCAAAGTATAATTAAACAGTGTGTCGCAGAGTAGAAAAGGATTTTGTAGAGCTTGAGACGAGGAGTTTCAGTAAAAAACAGCCATGGGTGAACTTGGATCCACCGCAAACGGTAATCTATCCACTGAGGGTTTGACTTCTATCAGTTAAATTTCATTTCGGCGTGGTTCCTTCCAGTGGATCATTGATTAATATACATCGGCGCCACTAGTGAAATTTAGTGTATTTTCCACAATGGGGATGACATTGATTTCTTCAAGATGGGTTGCCGAATAGTAAAAAGCCACATTACAGAACTTGAAATGCGAAGCTTAAAGTGAGACATCATGCGGAAAGACAGTTTTTAGGATACAATTGAACCACCGACTCTACACCTTCCAGAGAGCTGCTGTACCAGCTGAGCTACCGTTTGCAGCCCGTCACGCTTATGCAAAGCGAGTTTTTCTAAACTCACTAGTGCTAGACTTGGATTACCTGTTTCAACATCCGCAAAATTTTTCAAGCTCCAAGTCATTTCAAACTCTAACCTCATGATTGTTCGCATCCTCTTCAATTAACATTGATTATGCAATCAGCTCAAGTAGTCGAAAATAACCAGCTTCCTGCTGATGAATTCCCCGTCTAATCATTTTCAGAAAAGACGTAAGCAACAAGTAACCATTGAGCAAACTATTAAGTATACTGCTGAATATCTTAACCATGGTTCACGAACCAAACTTGAACCTTTATCATGGTCTGTATGATAAAGTGTTGCGCATGTTTATCATGGTATATTTATAAGCATTTCTATCTGTGTTATAGCATAGTAAACGGCGAAGCGAAACGGACAACTAGTCAACTGATCAGTATGCTTAAAAGCTTGGATGAATGAGCATATGGCTCTGCGTGGAAAAATTTATGACAAGTTGACGGGGTGGGCGTAGGCAAGCCATGCTGCGTGCTTCGTCACATACAATTTTGACTGTGCCAGTAGAGCAAGAACAATCACTTAGGCCCTATGCGATAGATGCTGGCGCCCAAGAGATCTGTGGATATCCTTAATCAGGGCATCCTGGCAAACCCAGACCACATCACAGATGGGACAGCTGTTCCCATGTGACGATTTACAACCATCTTGTAGTGAGCTTCACTATCAAATGTACTTAGTTGGTCCTGTTTCGCACGATTATCGGCATGTGCGTTGTTTGTGAACCAACTGCATTTTGGTATGCAATATCTGTGCGAACTGATTTTCCCACCGGAATTCGAAAGAAGAATACTGAGTGAATGATCCACATCAAACACAGTGTACTTCAAACTGGCAAGATGTCACGTGACTCCTGGTCGATCCTCGCAGTCGTTAATCCATGATATCTAGTTTGTGTGTACAAATTTTAGTGAATTAACCATACTGTAACTACCTACTTCGAGAGGTGGAGCAACTAACAGGCAGCAAGTTTCTGCGTCCAGAACCTAGTCTGCAATGCACAAAGTTTGGGTAATAAGTAATAAGTTAAGCAAAATTAAGCGGTTCTATAACACCACTGCCTTGAGGCTTATCCGGCAAGTTCTGGTTAACAGTAGGTCTTATAAAAGTTTTTTGCCATGAATCTACTGGAATGTGAAATGAGACAATACTAGCACAGCTGGACAGTGAATCATGTCACGAAAATAAAATGAGGACTTATACTATATCGTTCTTGAAAATTGTGCACAATTACTTCGCACACAATTTGGGAAGTAGCGAGAAAGTGTAACATCTAGGTACGCATGTCGCTCTAAAACGCCCAAATGCATTACCGCTCCCTGTAGATTGGTATGATAAGGACGATGATCATAGAATTTTGCTGCACCCATGGGTCACCTATTTACACTCCCTAAATACCAAAGGTCGTCACATAGAAACACTCACGTTGATCCTGTATGCTGCTGTTGAAAATACGGAGGGAATGTAGCGGTATTTCTTGGAGTTTCCCCTTGGAAAAGTCGCTGTACATATACGATGATAGGCTTAAACCTTGCGACAGTACCAACAGGCAATGTGAGTTTTTTCTACGTATAATCTGTTGCACAAAGCAATCTACCGACATACAGTTATGAGCAATAATTCACTGACTTTCTTAGGAGTAATTGACTGACCTACGGATCATGGAACAGAATCATTGCCCTTCTATAATTATCAAGTAACCTATACCTTTTATAGGTAAGAGGTACAATTAGGCTGTGAAATTTTTATGCGTTTCCCATAGCGCAATACTCGTATTCTCAAGGGATCTGATGATACTGTTTGGTGTTCCCAGAGCTTACATCTGCCTTCAAAGTGGGCGAAGGACAATCTTGAGCCCTAGTCTGTTCGACGGTTAGTTGGGACGGGCAAGTTCCCTTAAGCTTCATTTATCTTCTCCAGCCACCACTGACCAAACTCGGGGTCATCATTCGTAGGTCTTGTCTATGTACATAGACTGTTGTAGCAGCTGTGAACCAGCTTTCATGCTTACTATCTGATCCAACTGCCTTCACAATTTGCAATTACTTATTCCAATTCTGCGTTAAAAGATCGTAGCCTCAATAAAGAGCAACCTGATTTGGTTTTGGCCTTTGCTGAGTTAAGCTCATATTCTGCAAGACCCGGCCCATTCAGTCGTACATCCTACGAAACCTCACACGCTACACATTCTTGTCTGGATCCTAAGCACTTGTGCGAGATTCATAATGAATTAGATGACTTTGGGTTACCAACAGGTATCTTTTTACGGAAAAAGACATTAAACGCTCGGAATTATCACTTTTGGCGAGTTTCCAGTGGCACAGTTACAGTTATATTATTTTGCATTTCACTAGGACACTGGAGTAAGGTGCACAGGTTCACAATACGAAGCCCGAAAAATAGTCGTACCGGCTTTTGGAAGTCTTAATCTTGCTAGTGTAGTTATGAAGTCAGATAGAATGGAACAGTGGTTCTAGAAGAATTTTATCCGTAAATACATTATTATTCTTTGTGATGAACGAGATTGTGCACCCAAATGTTGCCTTTGAAACATTTCCGAACATGTAAGCATTATTTCTCAATACTGGACCCAGATCAGATTTTGTGTATAAGGCAGTCAACCATATTATTTTTCGTAAAAAGTCCAAAACTGTGACAAATTTTGCCAACGACTGATTCAGAGGTTCTTTTCCCTAACAGTTAATAAGTATCTATCCCACCCCCATTCCTATTTATCGATACACAAGGTAAGTAAAGGCTTGAATCCAAGTCTCTCTGGTTCGTCTGTATCATTTAGTGAGTGATGGGTTTCCAACGTCCACTGTTTTGTGATGGTTTGTTAATACGATCTCCTCGTAAACTACCTGCAGACTTATCTTGCTTCTACACTTTTTCTAACTTTGCAGTGCATTTTCTCTCAAATGATTAAAGAAAATGGCGTCCAAACTTAGTTTTGCACGCTCACGTTCCAAAGGATTCATCAATATCTCTGAGTCACTCAGTGGTCAATGCTTGTCAAACAAAGTTACCTGAGAGAAAGAGGTTGCCTTTCCGCCCAGAATTCACGAGCTATGGACTACTGATTTCATCCGACTGGTTAGTAAAGACATGTCCTGTCACCATTCGGCAAATGCCTAAAGCCTTAGTTTGACTAGACCGAGTGCGCAATCCAAAAAACATGGTGAACTCGTCCCGTATAACAATTCGCTTATTGGTTTCAAGAGTTTGAAGAAGCCTCAGGTTTTCTTATTTAGAACCCCTATAATTTGAGGGGTCACATGTAAATTACTTGCATGTCTAACATTTCTTGATGTTGAATATCTAATTCTAACATTGTTTTCACATGGTGTTTGAATTTTATGTTTCAGCCAAATTCATCAAATGGCTACAACAGCACTAGAAGCTACTCTACTTCAGCGTCTCCTCTGGTTGGATATAACGTTCAAATCCTTTTCCATCACCCTACTTCTTGTGCTCATCGGTTTGTTCGACCAAACCTTCGGAAGTATACAAGAATCTGTAACACATCACTCAGCTGACTCAATCACCCCATTCGCTTCCGGTTTCCCAATCGCAAGGGTTTACGTAGCCGTGCAAGAGGAACTCTCACCCGGGGCTATTATCACTGAACTTTCAACCCATCCACTTGTAAAAAACCTAATTACACAGACAGATGGCACGCAGTTTCATGAGACCTTTCAATACCGCCTGATGAATGCGTTCGATAGTCATTTGTTTCGAATCACCGGAAATTCCGGCCAGCTCACAATAGCCACACGATTGGATAGAGAAGCATTATGCGCAAGCCAAAAAGCTCAGTTTTGTTGCAACAACCGAGCTCAAATCCCTAGCTCATTGATGTCCGATGAGAGCTGGAAACTGATTGAAAGTGTGCCTAAGTCACAACTATGCCACCTTGTGGCTCACATCAGTCTGCAGCCGAACAAACCGGCGTCACAATCAGACAGTGGGTCAGGACAAACGGGTGTTGCTCAAATTAACCGTTTGGCCCTGGTCTACCTATACATACGTTTAGATGACATCAACGATCATGCACCCCAATTCGCCTCTTCAACTACCACACTCAACATCGCAGAAGATGCTACAGTAGGAAGTGTGTTGCAGTATTTCCGAGTCACTGATCCAGATGCCGGTGCCAACGGACTTCGAGATGTCAAACTTTCTGTAGCTCCTCTGTCTGGCACCAGTCTGAGTGCCAACTCGCGAACTATCGAGCCAGTGCGTGGGATTAGTACGGGGGTTTTGGCGAACCCCTTTGATGTACGACTTAGTAGAGACGGAGCAAGTTTGCTTTTGCAATCTGCATTGGATCGTGAAAGTATACCAGCCTACGATCTTACTTTGACCGCTCTTGATGGAGATCCGATCAGTCCAAAATCAAGTCAACTGAATTTACGTGTACTTGTGACAGACGCAAACGACAATGCGCCAACGTGGGTCCGGCCGTTGGTCAACGCAAACAAGTTACAACCGGAAAACGCCGATGTCCACATAATCGACCAAGCCATACCTCAATTCAATGTTTCCGTTTCAGAAGATACCCAAGTTGGTGCCCTTGTGTTTTGGTTGCAAGCACGTGATGCTGACGTGGGAGACAACGCTCGACTAACTTATGCTATTGATACAGGCGCTCCTGGAGGCCTGACAGCTCTGAATTACTTCTCTGTACAGTCAACTACCGGGGAAGTTCGCCTGCGAGCTCAGCTGGATTATGACAGTGCTTCTGCTAATTCAAACGGCGCTGAAATTGAAGTGCCCATCACTGTACAGGATAACCCTCACATAGGACGCCCATTAATGGCGAGGGCGGTACTTTTTGTCCGGATCTTGGATGTAAATGACATTCACCCTATCATTGTTGCCAGTCCTCTATCTCCAGTGCCACTAAGGAGGCCATTTTTAATGAACGCGGTTCCTAGTCAATATACCAGCTTTGGCGTATGGGAAAATCAACTGGCCGGTCAGCCAGTAGCCAGTATACTTGTCAGTGACCCAGATACTGGAGGAGGCGGAAAAGTCAGTTGCTCGGTGCAGAGTGATTATTTCCGGCTGGCGAGTGAATCGATAAAAACTGAATTCTTTGAGACAATTCAAAGTCAGTCTATTTCGAATTATCCATTTTCGGATGGTGAACTCATTAGCGGGCCAATCACCTATCAGCTGATCTCCACACAAATTTTGGACAGAGAACACATTCCACGTCATCAAGTTCTTCTGACCTGCAGAGATCATGATCAAAGTAAACCGCTTGTGTCCACTCGTCGCTTGGACATTGAAGTCCTGGACGAGAACGACAATGCTCCGGAATTCATAGCCCCGCTGATTGAACTCACATGTCCGGAAAACAGTCCCCCCGGCCAAATTATCGGGGTGGTGAACGCGACGGACAAAGACGTGGGAGAAAACGCTAGGTTACGGTTCTGGGTTAATGAGGCTAGCAGTAGTTGGATTAGCATTCATCAACAAACAGGCGAAGTACGAGTCAATACAGTTTTCGATCGTGAACAGGAAACCGAACGTAGATTTACCGTTTTTGTTTCCGATTCAGTCGGTTCAACAGCGCACACGGCCTCCGCGGAAGTGTGCATTCGGATTCTTGATGAGAACGATCACAGTCCTCAATTTGTGGATTTGTACTTCTTTTCAGTGTCCGAAAATAGTCCGCCCGGGACAGAAATTGGACAGGTTAAAGCAGAGGATGCGGATTCTGGCGAAAACGGAAAAGTAAGTTCACTTTCTTTTCGACTGATTCCTTTCGGCACTACTCCGTTAACTAATACTGGTTAGAAAATCTCGATCGTGAACCAAGGATGTGTTGCATCCACAGATATGGATTCGATACTTTTCTAAGCTGCTGATGTACTTAAAACGGATGGGTGGCTGCATTTTTCATCCCACCATCAGCAACCGGTTGCTTGCTGCTAAGCTGAGTTCAGTCTAATATGCCACAATTTGGTGCATGTGAATGCTATTTTCCAAAGTACATTCTAAAAGTACGTTTCTTGATGTCGACGACAGCACAGATATTCAAAACAATCTTTTAATTATGAACCTCAAAGTTTGATTCCATATTGTTGTCAACTTATGCGAAATTAGCATCAGAACTACTTTTGTTAGCTCTCAAGCACAGGCTCCTTAATTTTAGCCCCAGGACACCGACATTTTGAGGAATACTAAACGGTATAGAAAGCGGCAGTTTAGGAGGCTTATAGGATGATTCACATTATCGTGCAGGTCAAAGACATTGTAATCCTGTCACGTGCCACAAATTATTTCCCCTGAGAAGATGCAAGCAGGCCATCAGGTACCATATGAAAGCAGACTGCGTGTCTGTACAACGTTCTGAACGGATAACTCGGTTTCACTGTCTCAACCACTTGAACGAAGTCTTCGTATGAGCTGGATGAACCAACGGCCTTTAGAACGGCTTTAGAGAAGTTTAGTGAACGTTTCACTTAGTCCTTTTGCTCCAGGCTGCTTCCTTGCCTTGTAGCTTGGCCGCGTACTTTTTTTGAGCTCATTATACATTAGGACGTTCAACCAATAAAATGTAGCTACAAGTACTGTAAAGTTGTACTACATTGTCCTGCGACTATCGGTCTAAACACATTTACAAAATCCTCGACTTTATCAAACGAACCTCCCTTAAGTGCTCATATTAGGTGTCTGGCAGGTGCTTTCACAGTCACCGGTTTACTGAACTCAGCATACCATTTAAATGGACATTTTTAAAGCATACGGGGTTTTCTTGTACCAGTCCCTATCCATTATCTCCCTTCACCAGTTTACTTTTGATTCCCATATGTTACCATGAGGCCGCCAGCTGCCAGGCTGTTGAAAAGAACGGTACAGGTGCATAGAGTGACTAGATTTGGTAATCGGATGTGCCGTATACACTGACGTCAAGGGTGCAACTTGCCTAGTTAAGTCGAAATTCATATGGCCACGCAAGCAAGAACAATCAGTTTGTGGACCAATCTAATTGGTAGCACGGCACGAACATCCAACCCAACTTTGTGATGGCATTGCACTGGCAGGTTGAGCTAAAAAAAACCCATCTCCTAAAGGTTATCGTGTGGGGTGAAGACAATGGAAACTCGAAAAATCTGTTGCGATGGAACTACATAATTACTTCGACCATCATTATTTTGACCGTGATTATCTGGAAATCATTTTTTATGCAAGAATTACATGTATTGCAATAAAATTCCAAATGGAATGAAGGAATTGGTGTGGGCTCCATAAAATTATACGGTTGCCTATTTTTCCTGCCTAATTTTTGATGACTTGCAAATCAATCAGTTTTAGTGATTCGCACAGGTTTAAGTAGCCAGCATTAACACACAAAGGGCAGTAGCCAGAAAAGATCAAAAGATATCTAATAATAATAAAAATTGCTAAACTCTGGGTGAGCTTAAACAGGTTGCTAAAATTATATTGTGAGACATCAGCGTTATTACCAGCCAAAATAAATAACACTTACCTGTGGTCTACTTCTAGCAACCTGTTATCGGGCCCCCTTTCAGCAAGGTGACTACTAACGCCCATGTAAATGCTGCGTTTCCAGCGGACTTTGTAAGGGGAATTATCCACCCTACGAAAGATAAAAATTCAATTGTGATGTACCCCTTATTGCTGAGTCTATTCCTCATGGTTTCATTAGAGTATTGCTTCATGTATTTCTAGCGGAGAAACCAGGGCCAAATACGCGGTAAAGTAAAATCAGTTGCTGTTGAGGGGAGACTCAACAGAATCTCAGCCGAAGTCATTCAAACACAAGAGACTATGCTTGGACTTAGCCAAGTATCCGGTCAACCCCAGTCTAATTTGCGAATGGGCGCATTCTTCAAACTGCGTAGACTGTTTGTTCAAACTGAAGGTAAGGCTAGCATAAGTAGTCAGCTTCAGAAGGGCAAAACAGATTGCGAATGTCGGAGGATATTCAGAAACCTTATATGTTCTATCATATATGTTCTATGTTCCATTGGCACTTCAGTCCTCATCCTCGAGAAGTGTGAAGAACGAGACTTCCCTCTTAGCGAAATACATCCGAATTTGTTGTCGATTAGTCAAAATATGTGTAGCTCGAGTGTGTTTACTGTTGGTTGATCAGATGGTAGTTGACAGAGGCAAACAAATCAACCACCATCTGATCAGCCAACGGAAATATACCCAGTTGCACACCAATTTGGTTTTGACAGGAGACTCACCTGGAACCCAGCTGAATCCTTACGCTTCACCGATTTTGGGTTCCTTCATAACATATGGGCGATCAGTAGCGTTCAATCTAAGTGAATTAATTTCCGGAATTGACTGGATTGACAAAACGTCTAGGTGCATTACTGTCATCACTTTACATTTAAAAGTTATTCACCAGTCCCCCCTGGAAAGATCTCTATCCAGAAGAGACTACTTTCAGTGGGTTCTTCCAGGTAGTCTCTCCACCGGGGCAAGACGTTGGACGTATATTGCAGTGAATTACTTTCCTGTAAAAAAAACATGATTTACCTACTGCTTGGTTGTCCCACTGCGAAAAGGGCTGGATTTACACTGAACAGTGCCTGGCATGTCTACAGAACTGGTTCGTCCTACGTAGACAGAGCAGTGAATATGTGCGCTCTATTGTAAACCATGGAAAATACACGGCTAAGGAGCCATGTTTTAGGCGATGAAGTTATCAATGTATACATAAAACATTGAGCTTTACGAATACTGCAGATCGCTCGATCAGTGACCAAATTTTGAATGGTTGTACCACTTTGTAGCAGTTTTTCTGGGGTTTTGCAGACTGCAAACGTAGAACATAACATACATATACTTTTATGTTATCCAGCCGTTGACGAATATCGTACCCACAGTGGTTACGGAAAGTGCAATCGAAAGATGAACATCAAATAGGCTTGCTGAATGACGTACGTAGTCTTCATCAGCACCGAGCACCCACACCTCATAAATTAGTAAACAACCTATTGAAGTACTGCATGCATAGAACTTGCTTGAAAAGTTAATGAACTGAATAGTCGAGGCAGAAAGGTCGTTGAAGTAAACTGACTGCCATCAACTGAAATCGGACTGTTGCAATAAGTCTTTGATTGCGCTCCACTGTCTTCACTCACCTTGGACGTGTTAACCTGAGTATGAAGTAACTTGGAGGTAGTAATATGGAGATGGCGCGCAACAGATATCTGGGTTAGGTTGTCTGTGAATGAATGGATAATATTCGCTCCAGTTTTCGGAACTGGCATCAATAATCGGACACCTCCGAAAAGCTTTACTCTATGCTTCTCTCGGGACCAAAACGGAAGTCACTAATTAGACTTTCTTAGTTTCTTGAAGTCAGAAGGTTAGAATCAAAAGTGACAATCTAAACAAAGATGATAGATCACTTGAACTAGACAACATATGCCTAATTTGCAACCAGAAGCTGCTGGGAGTTTTTACTCAGCAATGTCCCTGGACGGTAGAGCATTTTGGAACAAAATGCACCAGAGACATCCTCTTCCTCGTCAGCTTATCAGCCATAAACACAAGCACTAAATTAACACTTCAAGTAAGTCAAACAAGTAACGCTTCGAAATGGGATCCATACATACGTGACTACCTAATATTTTTAGTGATTGTAAACTTAGAGCTAATCCAGAAATTCCACTCTTCCCGTAAACAAATGGTCATGGGAAAAGTCACTTAGTTCACGGAATAATGGAGTGATCAAAACAAGTTTGACTATCCCTCGTGTCCTAACTGGCAGCTGGTCATTACCTGTCACCAGTGTCATGTCAAACCGTGACAACTTCCTTCTTCAAGTTGCCTGAATGTAGGCTTATCATTTTCGTGTGTGTGTGTGTGTGTATGGACAATGCGGTAGCTGATGTCAATCCAGAATACCTTTCTCAGCTGTTAGTCAGTAATGATGCACAACCTTTAATTTAAACCACGATCTGCTGTCAGAGCTGTTCTGAAACGTCCAGGCATGATACCGTTTACTTAAAATGTGACTTAACCCTGAAAACGTTGTTCGCACCAAGTGTTTCCTTTTTAGCGTAACTTACCAAACGAGAGTGGATTTGTAGAGCCAAGTGGCCAACTTCAGAGGATAACAGGTCTACGAGACTATAGCTGAGTCTTTGAGCTCCTGCGTTCCAACGACATCAAGGTAAAAAATAACCGATTCAGAGCCGCCCAACTGTCACGAGTAAAAGCAACGTCTGTATGATCTTACTAAGACAATATACTTCTGTTCGGACAGGAATACGCTGAATAAGGGAGTACTCAGTTGAAAGAATGGCTTCGCCCTAATCTGTTCTCATCTCCTTGATATATAGGTTTCTGGAGGTAAACAAGTTAGAATTTAAATGTTATTTAATCGAACGATCAGCCAGGCGAGTAGTAGTAAACAAAGCGCGGAATAAGGTTCACTGGGTTCACTAAATAAAGAGCAGGACGTGAACTCAAAAGTTCTGTTGGGAGGTGCGTCCAGAACGCTAGTACAAAACAAAATGCGTATGAGAATCTTATTTTCTAAGTCCTCTGTGGCTTCGGGCATTCAGACTACCTATTTTTTGCTATACCTTCTCCGTCGTTGACGATAGTAAATTCAATTCCGGTATCCGCATTTTCAGGTGATAATTTTTCTCACCACATTTTTAAACCCGAAATTAAGCATCCCTTATGAATGGCCCTTATCGCGTTCCTAACACGGTATTATCATCAAATTACTGGTGACG